CCGCAAGTGGCATGCACCGACACACGTGCCGCAGGTGGCATGCACTGACACAACTGCCTCACCTACACAACAAGGCAAGTAGGCGTGCCATAACAATACACATCTCACTCCCACATATACCTGGTTGATGGGGTTCTGGGAGTTGTTCTACTGCCCAAGCCCGGCCCGAGGCCAGGCTTGACTTGTGAGAGTTTGGTCCACCAGGCTGTTGCTTGGAGCGGCCCGCAGGCCCACATATACCTGGTTGATGGGGTTCTGGGAGTTCTTCTACTGCCCAAGCCCGGCCCGAGGCCAGGCTTGACTTGTGAGAGTTTGGTCCACCAGGCTGTTGCTTGGAGCGGCCCGCAGGCCCACATATACCAGGCTGTTGCTTGGAGCGGCCCGCAGGCCCACATATACCTGGTTGATGGGGTTCTGGGAGTTGTTCTACTGCCCAAGCCCGGCCCGAGGCCAGGCTTGACTTGTGAGAGTTTGGTCCACCAGGCTGTTGCTTGGAGCGGCCCGCAGGCCCACATATACCTGGTTGATGGGGTTCTGGGAGTTCTTCTACTGCCCAAGCCCGGCCCGAGGCCAGGCTTGACTTGTGAGAGTTTGGTCCACCAGGCTGTTGCTTGGAGCGGCCCGCAGGCCCACATATACCTGGTTGATGGGGTTCTGGGAGTTGTTCTACTGCCCAAGCCCGGCCCGAGGCCAGGCTTGACTTGTGAGAGTTTGGTCCACCAGGCTGTTGCTTGGAGCGGCCCGCAGGCCCACATATACCTGGTTGATGGGGTTCTGGGAGTTGTTCTACTGCCCAAGCCCGGCCCGAGGCCAGGCTTGACTTGTGAGAGTTTGGTCCACCAGGCTGTTGCTTGGAGCGGCCCGCAGGCCCACATATACCTGGTTGATGGGGTTCTGGGAGTTGTTCTACTGCCCAAGCCCGGCCCGAGGCCAGGCTTGACTTGTGAGAGTTTGGTCCACCAGGCTGTTGCTTGGAGCGGCCCGCAGGCCCACATATACCTGGTTGATGGGGTTCTGGGAGTTGTTCTACTGCCCAAGCCCGGCCCGAGGCCAGGCTTGACTTGTGAGAGTTTGGTCCACCAGGCTGTTGCTTGGAGCGGCCCGCAGGCCCACATATACCTGGTTGATGGGGTTCTGGGAGTTGTTCTACTGCCCAAGCCCGGCCCGAGGCCAGGCTTGACTTGTGAGAGTTTGGTCCACCAGGCTGTTGCTTGGAGCGGCCCGCAGGCCCACATATACCTGGTTGATGGGGTTCTGGGAGTTGTTCTACTGCCCAAGCCCGGCCCGAGGCCAGGCTTGACTTGTGAGAGTTTGGTCCACCAGGCTGTTGCTTGGAGCGGCCCGCAGGCCCACATATACCTGGTTGATGGGGTTCTGGGAGTTGTTCTACTGCCCAAGCCCGGCCCGAGGCCAGGCTTGACTTGTGAGAGTTTGGTCCACCAGGCTGTTGCTTGGAGCGGCCCGCAGGCCCACATATACCTGGTTGATGGGGTTCTGGGAGTTGTTCTACTGCCCAAGCCCGGCCCGAGGCCAGGCTTGACTTGTGAGAGTTTGGTCCACCAGGCTGTTGCTTGGAGCGGCCCGCAGGCCCACATATACCTGGTTGATGGGGTTCTGGGAGTTGTTCTACTGCCCAAGCCCGGCCCGAGGCCAGGCTTGACTTGTGAGAGTTTGGTCCACCAGGCTGTTGCTTGGAGCGGCCCGCAGGCCCACATATACCTGGTTGATGGGGTTCTGGGGAGTTGTTCTACTGCCCAAGCCCGGCCCGAGGCCAGGCTTGACTTGTGAGAGTTTGGTCCACCAGGCTGTTGCTTGGAGCGGCCCGCAGGCCCACATACCCACCACAGCCCGGCTGGTCCGGAACTTCTCTTAGAAAACCGTCCAGTTTTCTCTTGAAGATGTCCACGGTTGTTCCGGCAATATTTCTTATAGTCGCTGGGAGGATGTTGAGCAATCGCGGACCTCTGATGTTTATACAGTGTTCTCTGATTGTGCCTATGGCACCTCTGCTCTTCACTGGACCTCTGATGTTTATACAGTGTTCTCTGATTGTGCCCATGGCACCTCTGCTCTTCACTGGACCTCTGATGTTTATACAGTGCTCTCTGATTGTGCCTATGGCACCTCTGCTCTTCACTGGACCTCTGATGTTTATACAGTGTTTTCTGATTGTGCCTATGGCACCTCTGCTCTTCACTGGTTCTATTCTGCATTTTCTTCCATATCGTTCACTCCAGTACGTTGTTATTTTACTGTGTAGATTAGGGACCTGTCCCTCCAGTATTTTCCATGTGTATATTATTTGGTATCTCTCTCGTCTTCTTTCTAGAGAGTACATTTGGAGAGCTTTGAGACGATCCCAATAATTTAGGTGTTTTATCTCGTCTATGCGTGCCGTATATGTTCTCTGTATTCCCTCTATTTCAGCAATCTCTCTTGCTCTGAAGGGGGAAGTGAGTACTGAGCAGTACTCAAGACGGGACAACACAAGTGATTTGAAGAGTACAACCATTGTGATGGGATCTTTGGACTTGAAAGTTCTCGTAACCCATCCGATCATTTTTTCTGGCTGACGCAATATTTGCTTGGTTATGCTCCCTAAACGTTAGGTCGTCGGACATCATTATTCCCAAATCCTTTACATGCTGTTTTCCTACTATGGGAAGATTTGATTGTGTTTTGTACCTTGTATTATGTTTAAGGTCCTCATTTTTGCCGTACCTGAGTACCTGGAATTTATCACTGATAAACATCATGTTATTTTCTGCTGCCCAGTCGAAAACTTTGTTGATATCTGCTTGTAATTTTTCAATGTCTTCAGCAGAGGTAATTTCCATGCTGATTTTTGTGTCATCTGCGAAGGATGACACGAAGCTGTGACTTGTGTTTTTGTCTATATCTGATATGAGAATAAGGAACAGCAGTGGTGCAAGGACTGTACCTTGAGGTACAGAGCTTTTAACATCACTTGGACTCGATTTTATTTAATTGACTGTTACTCTTTGTGTTCGGTTCGACAGGAAATTGAGTATCCAGCGTCCTACTTTACCAGTTATACCCATTAATATACCAGTTATTATTCACACATACACATCAGTTGTTTGACGGTTGGGAGGCGGGAGCAAAGAGCCGAAGCTCAACTCCCGCAAGCACATCTAGGCGAGTACTATAGGCAAGCACCACCCACAAAGTTATGATGGTAGGTTAGGCGTGAGCTGGAGGCCAGGAAGGTGTGACGCGCTGTAACGCAAGTAGGCAGGTGTGACGCTAGTAGGCAGGTGTGACGCAAGTAGGCAGGTGTGACGCAAGTAGGCAGGTGTGACGCAAGTAGGCAGGTGTGACGCTAGTAGGCAGGTGTGACGCAAGTAGGCAGGTGTGACGCTGAGGTAATTGTGGCGGGCTAGTGGAGATGTGTAGGGAAGAGTGTGAGTGTGTGTGTGTGTGTGTGTGTGTGTGTGTGTGTGTGTGCGTGCGTGCGTGCGTGTGTGTGTGTGTGTGTGTGTGTGTGTGTGTGTGTGTGTGTGTGTGTGCGTGCGTGCGTGTGTGTGTGGTGTTGAAGGTGCGTAGCGGAGTTGACGCCCTTGGCGCCAGTGTCCGTCACCCTCCCTCGCCCGCATGCACTCACGCACTCACTCACACTCACACACCAGGATATGCGGGGGGGGGGGGGGACACATTCTGCCGCGCCAGGGGCTTGTCCACCCCCAGGAAGTGTAGCAGTTGTGTGTCACGGAAGGTGGTGGTAGTGGTGACCCCTCGCTGCCTCGCCCCCCTCACGCTCCTTACTCTCCTGCTGCTGCTGCTGCCCCTGGGGGGTCACCTCCCCCCTCCTGGGGGTGACACCACCCCCCTGGTGACCTTGGGTGACCCCGTGATCTCTGACTGTGAAGGTGTTGGCTGTCTTACACTCTCACTCACAGTCGCCAGGTGACTGTGACCATGTCTCAGGTGTAACACTGGGTGAACCACAGTTACTAAACAGGTGTTATGATACAACAGGATCCACTACTGTGTGTGTCTACCCTCCCGCAAGCTTAGAGGACTGGCGCAACCCATTGGTGGGTCTATCTCCCAGGCTCGGCACCATTTTAATAGCATTCTTATTGTTTTGCAGGTGGGTGTTGGAGGCGCTGTGTTGTGGGAGGCAGGTGTTGGAGGCGCTGTGTTGTGGGAGGCAGGTGAAGGCGAGGCAGGTGCGCCAGCTCAGGTAAGCTCTGATGGTCTGGGTTCCTCTGTTGGTCAGGTTCCGCTCTCTGAACCTCTCCTCGGCCAGCCCTCTGCTGCAGGTACGATCCTCCACTCTTGTGTAATCATTCCTGTACCTCTGTACTCTGGGCCTGTACTCATCACCGTAGAGGACTTTAGACCTCCTGGCCTCTTGTACCACCAACTGTGTAACTATGTCATTGACTCAGGTGTTCTGGACGACATCCTAACAATTTATCCAAAATTTGCTTGTCCATTTTAAAGAATGAAGAACAATTTTCATATATATTTTTTAAGCTGCCTCACTTATGACCCCATCCCTGCCCTTGTGTGGCAGAGCCCAATAGAAAGTTGTTTTTCACATATACATTAAAACATTGATTGTAACCATGATATACATGTGCTTCAGCCTACAGTTTAGACCTATTGTCTTGTGTATGACCCTCTGTCCTGCGTGACAGTGAATACCAACATTATCCTCACTTTAATAAGACTATCAAAATCCTCAGATTAGGCAAATTGTAATTAATTTTGTCAATAAAGATGTTAATAATAATAAGTGCCACTCGGGCTGGTTGGTGTAGGGAGCTACCTGAAGTGCAAAGTGTAAAGTGTGTCGACACACAACCACACACACTTGAGCATTATACTTTAGACTGTAATCAAATTGATCCATTTAGAGATAAGTGTAAACTCACGCTGCAGTAACTGGCAAACTATGTTATTAACTAAAGATACCACACCTGAAGTTCTTGCACTGTATCCATGTTTCACTCGCAGTAGATAAAGGACACATGAGAGGCGATAAAGGACACATGAGAGGCGATAAAGGACACATGAGAGGCGATAAAGGACACATGAGAGGCGATAAAGGACACATGAGAGGCGATAAAGGACACATGAGAGGCGATAAAGGACACATGAGAGGCGATAAAGGACACATGAGAGGCGATAAAGGACACATGAGAGGCGATAAAGGACACATGAGAGGCGATAAAGGACACATGAGAGGCGATAAAGGACACATGAGAGGCGATAAAGGACACATGAGAGGACACATGAGAGGCGATAAAGGACACATGAGAGGCGATAAAGGACACATGAGAGGCGATAAAGGACACATGAGAGGCGATAAAGGACACAAGAGAGGCGATAAAGGACACATGAGAGGCGATAAAGGACACATGAGAGGCGATAAAGGACACATGAGAGGCGATAAAGGACACATGAGAGGCGATAAAGGACACATGAGAGGCGATAAAGGACACATGAGAGGCGATAAAGGACACATGAGAGGCGATAAAGGACACATGAGAGGCGATAAAGGACACATGAGAGGCGATAAAGGACACATGAGAGGCGATAAAGGACACAATAGAGGCGACATGAGAGGCGATAAAGGACACATGAGAGGCGATAAAGGACACAAGAGAGGCGATAAAGGACACATGAGAGGCGATAAAGGACACATGAGAGGCGATAAAGGACACAAGAGAGGCGATAAAGGACACATGAGAGGCGATAAAGGACACATGAGAGGCGATAAAGGACACAAGAGAGATGATAAAGGACACATGAGAGGCGATAAAGGACACATGAGAGGCGATAAAGGACACATGAGAGGCGATAAAGACCTATCATTAATGTAGAATAATTAAGTGTAAATACGCAGCTATTAAAGTGGAACAATGTGTGTTACTATCTTGAGGTTATCTTGAGATGATTTCGGGGCTTTAGTGTCCCCGCGGCCCGATCCTCGACCAGGCCTCCACCCCCAGGAAGCAGCCCGTGACAGCTGACTAACACCCAGGTATCTATTTATCTAGGGTGAAAGAAACTCTGCCCCATTGTTTCTCGCCGGCGCCCGGGATCGAACCCGGGACCACAGGATCACAAGTCCAGTGTGCTGTCCGCTCGGCCGACCGGCTCCCTAGCTGACACTATAATTACAAGTGGCGCAGGATAGATATAATTGTTAATGTAATAATCTCCGTTCAGGTTTGATATAAACTTTTTGTGTCCGCTGTAATCCTTTTTGCGCTACCGCTCACAGGATGAGTATGGGGTGCACAATAAACTATCGCTCACAGGATGAGTATGGGGTGCACAATAAACTATCCCCTCCCTGCTCCTGCGACGGTGCTGGAACCAAGCGTATTGGCGTTTGCCTTTCCATTGGACAATTTCGTCATCGTGGAGAGGGGGGGGGGGACCTGCTGCATGGGTAACAGCTTCTCCTCCATACCGACCTACCCAAGCTTTGTGCCCTGGAGAGGACATTCCAGCCTAGACAACCAGAACGCAACTCCCATAGTCTCCCAAGACTGCAGCATGCCTTCTATTGACCCCTCAGTGTATGCTGACTGTCGCCTCAGTGTATACTGACTGTCGCCTCAGTGTATACTGACTGTCGCCTCAGTGTATGGTGACTGTCGCCTCAGTGTATGCTGACTGTCGCCTCAGTGTATGCTGACTGTCGCCTCAGTGTATGGTGACTGTCGCCTCAGTGTATGCTGACTGTCGCCTCAGTGTATGGTGACTGTCGCCTCAGTGTATGCTGACTGTCGCCTCAGTGTATGCTGACTGTCACCTCAGTGTATGGTGACTGTCACCTCAGTGTATGGTGACTGTCGCCTCAGTGTATGCTGACTGTCGCCTCAGTGTATGGTGACTGTCGCCTCAGTGTATGCTGACTGTCGCCTCAGTGTATGCTGACTGTCGCCTCAGTGTATGGTGACTGTCGCCTCAGTGTATGGTTAGAGACATGTCAGTGTTACAAATCAGTGTTGGAATATTAAATGCTGTTTAAATACTGAGTATCACTAGTCAGTGTACACGTAAGTGGAGGTCTTCAGGAAAAGATTGGACAGTTTCCTCCAAGGAGTGGCGGACCAACCGGGCTGTGGTGGGTATGTGGGCCTGCGGGCCGCTCCAAGCAACAGCCTGGTGGACCAAACTCTCATTAAAGAACTCCCAGAACCCCATCAGCCAGGTATTAACCAGGTAACACTGCTCAACCGTCTGCGACATTCAACACGATAAGCTGGCAAAAATATTCATGTTGAGTAAGGTGAGGCACTCACTGTACCGAGTGCCTCACCTCAAGGTATTCCCAGTTGTGAGAGAGACTATACAGAGTGAGTATGGCAGACTCATAAGGGGTGAGAGAGCCTTGTAGGACCTCCCATACACAGGTGACTCACCATACTCAGTAGTGAGGTGAGTGAGCCAGAGGGGTCCTGGCGGGGCGGTGCCGTGGGTGTCTTGAGCTGGAGGCATGAGTGAGTCTAGCGTGTCACAGGTGTATGGTGACAAGAGCGGCAGATGTGGACTGTGTCACTGTACAACAGTGACTCATCACACGGCGGCCATCTTCTTCCTGGAGTTGTCAATCATAACATCTTGAGAGTGACTTCACTCTTGTTAATACTGGCTAGAGTGCAGGGGTCCGCCTCCCTGCTGACCGGCGCCTGCACTCCTCATGTCCCCGTGTACTTGTGTTTGTGGGGGTTGAGCTCTGGCTCTTTGGTCCCGCCTCTCAACTGTCAATCAACTGGTGTACAGGTTCCTGAGCCTATTGGGCTCTATCATATCTACATTTGAAACTGTGTATGGAGTCAGCCTCCACCACATCACTGCCTAATGCATTCCATCCGTTAACTACTCTGACACTGAAAAAGTTCCTTCTAACGTCTCTGTGGCTCATGTGGGTACTAAGTTTCCACCTGTGTCCCCTTGTTCGTGTCCCACCCGTGCTGAAGAGTTTGTCTTTATCCACTCTGTCAATTCCCCTGAGAATTTTGTAGGTGGTTATCATGTCTCCCCTTACTCTTCTGTTTTCCAGGGACGTGAGGTTCAGCTCCTTTAGCCTTTCCTCGTAGCTCAATCCTCTCAGTTCCGAGACGAGCCTGGTGGCATACTGCTGAATCTTCTCTAACTTTGTCTTGTGTTTAACTAGGTATGGACTCCAGGCTGGAGCTGCATACTCCAGGATTGGTCTTACATAAGTGGTATACAGGGTTCTGAAAGATTCCTTACACAAGTTTCTGAAGGCAGTTCTTATGTTGGCCAGTCTAGCATATGCCGCTGATGATATTCTTTTGATGTGGGCCTCTGGGGACAGGTTCGGTGTGATATCAACCCCCAGATCCTTCTCTGTATTTGACTCTTGCAGGACTTCACCTCCCAGATGATACCTTGTGTTCAGCCTCCTGCTCCCTTCGCCTAATTTCATTACTTTACACTTTCCTGTGTGTGGTGACCTCTTGGTGGTGATGTCCCCCGTGTGTCCGCAGTCACGGCCAGCCCTGGACGTCACGGCCAGCCCTGGACGTCACGGCCAGCCCTGGACGTCACGGCCAGCCCTGGACGTCACGGCCAGCCCTGGACGTCACGGCCAGCCCTGGACGTCACGTCGTCACGGCCAGCCCTGGACGTCACGGCCAGCCCTGGACGTCACGGCCAGCCCTGGACGTCACGGCCAGCCCTGGACGTCACGGCCAGCCCTGGACGTCACGGCCAGCCCTGGACGTCACGGCCAGCCCTGGACGTCACGGCCAGCCCTGGACGTCACGGCCAGCCCTGGACGTCACGGCCAGCCCTGGACGTCACGGCCAGCCCTGGACGTCACGGCCAGCCCTGGACGTCACGGCCAGCCCTGGACGTCACGGCCAGCCCTGGACGTCACGGCCAGCCCTGGACGTCACGGCCAGCCCTGGACGTCACGGCCAGCCCTGGACGTCACGCCGGTGTCCACCAGTCTGCTACGAGCCATAAACAATATTGCGGGAAGAGTAGTGGAGGTGTTGGTCTGCTGCCTCACTGTAGCCAGCTGCCTCACTGTAGCCTGCTGTCTGCTGCCTCACTGTAGCCAGCTGTCTGCTGCCTCACTGTAGCCAGCTGCTGTAGCATGCTGTCTGCTGCCTCACTGTAGCCAGCTGTGTAGCTGCTGTCCTGCCACACTGTAGCCAGCTGCCACACTGTAGCACTGCCACACTGTAGCCAGCTGCCACTGTAGCAGCTGCCACACTGTAGCCAGCTGTCTGCTGCCACACTGTAGCCTGCTGTCTGCTGCCACACTGTAGCCAGCTGTCTGCTGCCACACTGTAGCCTGCTGCCACACTGTAGCCTGCTGTCTGCTGCCACACTGTAGCCAGCTGTCTGCTGCCACACTGTAGCCAGCTGTCTGCTGCTACACTGTAGCCAGCTGCCATACTGTAGCCAGCTCTCTGCTGCCACACTCCAGTATACTCGTGTGCCATCTAGTATGGCAACTTCCCGCACCGACACTCCGGCCGGGTGTGACTCCTGGGCCCCGGCTCAGTCCGGATAGTTAGTGGGAGGCAGTTTACCTGTCTGTGACGCGGGGACCAATCAGGTGACGCCACGTGTCGTCTAGTGTCTGATTGGCTGTGACACAATGACGCCGTCTGATTGGCTGTGGCACAATGACGGCGTCTGATTGGCTGTGGCACAATGAGGCCGTCTGATTGGCTGTGACACAATGACGCCGTCTGATAAGATAAGATGGTGTGGAGGTTCAGGTCTGAACAAGGGCGAAGATAATGACATACTCCAGTGACTGGTGGACCCTGTGACCTTCCTCTCCTATCCCCCCTACTCTCTACTTCCGAAACCTCTACATCTTTCCCCGATCATCAGTGTTTTGTGTTTAGGTTTGGGCTGTGTGTTGCCTGTATAGGACCCGGGCCAGCGTCACCTGCCACCGCCATAGTGTATCCTGTGAGGGACACACCGCCATAGTGACAGTATTGGGCAGCGTCACTCATCCTGTGAGTGAACACACCGCCATAGTGTGAGTGGACACACCGCCATAGTGACAGTATTGGGCAGCGTCACTCATCCTGTCACTCATCCTGTGAGTGGACACACCGCCATAGTGACAGTACAGTCATCATCCTGGGCAGCGTCACTCATCCTGTGAGTGAACACACCCCATGTTGAACACCCCACAATAAGAACACCGCGGGATGTGTTCACCTGGGAAGGTGGTGTCTAACACATACGGAACAGGTTGGGCCGGCCAGTAGTTGCAAGTTGGAATATTTGTAAAAACAAGGAAATTGATCGCAAGACAAATATTGGGGATGGTCTGGGGGGCAAAAGGGCGACATTTACATTTTGTGTGTCAGGTGCTTCACCCTAAATGGCACCCGTGACGTCACAATGATTGGACGGGTCAAGACAGTGTTTGTCAACACAACTTACCGTCACCCTAGTAAACAGCGGCCATGTTGGTGGTCCACTACACCCTGGTGGTCCACCATGTTGGTGGTCCACCACACCCTGGTGGTCCACCATGTTGGTGGTCCACCACACCCTGGTGGTCCACCATGTTGGTGGTCCACCACACCCTGGTGGTCCACTACACCCTGGTGGTCCACCATGTTGGTGGTCCACTACACCCTGGTGGACCACCATGTTGGTGGTCCACTACACCCTGGTGGACCACCTTGTGGTTGTCGTGTGGTGAGAGAAGGAAGGCAGGGGACGTGTGAGGGGTGAGAGAAAGAAGGCAGGGGACGTGTGAGGGGTGAGAGAAGGAAGGCAGGGGACGTGTGAGGGGTGAGAGAAGGAAGGCAGGGGACGTGTGAGGGGTGAGAGAAGGAAGGCAGGGGACGTGTGAGGG